CGTCAAGCCGAAGGCGCAGCTGCAGCCTAAACCCTAAATCCTGCCTGCCGGAATCTGCTGTACTCCGTGAGAAGCCAAGGCCTGCACGTTCACTGGTAACTCGTGTATGGAGAGGCGCCGGACTCATGCAGGCTTAGTTTTAGGGTTTAGGGGGTTAGGGGTTTAGGGGTCCAGGGGTTTAGGGGTTTAGGGTTGGGGGTTTAAGGTCTTGGATTGGGGGTCAATTGTATCGGAAAGCTTCACAGGCTGCCATGTTAACATTCAGTGGAGGGCCCAACGTTTGCTCGTTGCACTTCCATTTGATGGTGAACGTCGACTCTTCGCCCCACCCTTCCTCATGGACTCAGGTAGCGATTGATGAGATCGGGCCCCCACTTCCTTAATTTCCTATGATATCAGATGCCCATCTTGCTGCCTTGTTTGGCCAAGGGGGTGTCGAAGACTGGGCGCAAGTGCTAGTCTGGTTTCCCAATTCTCGTCACCCGGTGCATCGAAGGGCTTTCCCACTTGCAGTCCGGAGACGTCACTAGTAACTAGTACTCAACGCCGCAAAGTTGGCAAGAGCCCACCCGCCTGATGTTGGAATCCAGCACCAGGAAAAATACCAAAAACAGCGAAAGTCGTTGTCCAGCCTGAGATGCAATGGGTGGTTCCAATCGCGGCGATGTCATGATAGCCGGAGCCCTAAACCCGAAATTGGCCGAAAAAGCCATGAGCCCTAGCTCAGCATGGTTTGGGCATTCCAGTGATTCGATGTCGACGAGGCAGATAGTGGATGCTGGGTTGAGTTCGAGCATCGTTCCTACTTACTCCTTGCTGCACCGGAATCAGGCGATGAGCTTCCTGGCAGTTGTTTGTAGACGTCTAGATGATGGGATTCTGTTCCGGCTGTCTAGTAATTGCCGCAAGACAAATCCAAGACCAAAAAGCTTCGCTGGCCTTGATAACATCTCTGCTTCCCTCACGGATGCACGAATCTGGATGATCTCAAGACTTGTAGCGGGTTTGGGCACTATCATCACCGGGGACGCCTATTGCCCCAGGTAGTATGGGTGATGGGATCTTGGCGACAACCTACTCTGCCAACACCACATACGAAAACTCTCAACTTGGATGCCATCCCAGGTAAAACCTTCTGCCCGCTGCTAGCGAACTGCTACGAGGCCGGAGGGGGCAGTGTGATGCAGTGACGCTAGAGCCCAAACCCTGAACCCTATACAGTGGTGACAGGGTTCAGGAAGTATGACTTGATTAGGAACTTCGAGGTTTAGGTTGTGCAGGAAAGCCGGTGGTGCAAACGGACACACATGTACTGCCAGGCAGAGTAGAGATTATCGAGGGCCTGAGCCAACCAGGAACACCATTACTAAAACGGCGCAATAACGTCAATACAGTATATCACAGTCAATAACGTCAATACAGTATATCACAGTGCAGTATACCATATACCCCATATCCTTCTACTAAGTATTAAGGCCCCTCCGACATCTCACCAATCCAGGCTTGTCGGCTCTCCCACACAGTGGGGAGTTGCCAAGACTTCGAGGGCTGCCCCGGGTGCGGGGCTGAGCATGAGATAGAGGAGGATAACATAAGGGCCTCAATATTTAATTAGAATACGGCTTTCTGGGTACATTATAGTGATGTTCTACTCTAACTACAATATATAGGGAACTTTAAGACGTGTTCTTTAAGCTTGTAAGAAAGAGCCCGACGGAGCCTGACTTGAATTATTAAGGCTCCTACATTAGCAAAGCAAAGGAACTCCACAAAGATGGCCAGTGATTAAGCATAATGGTACGAAGAAGCAAAGTTTGGCCGGCACCCAGGTCCTGGAAACATCCCCACTAGAGTGTCTTGATACGAAGTGCGGCTGCTCATGTGCAGGCAAAGGCTGCTATGAATCCTCCTATTCGATGAATTCGATGAACCTTGACTTATTGATGCAGTGCACAGTGGTGCCTCAGGTCGGCAGAAGATGGGTGCTGTAGCATGCCGGCAGCCAACTGCCGAACAAGTTAAAGCCGGATAGCGAGCCCTGAGCTTCTTCAGGAAAGCTGCCTCCTTCAACGACTCCTCTGCCTCCTTCTACCTGCTGGCAGCTTGCTTGCACTGTAGCAAAAGCAGGTGAAAGGATGAACAGTGGCCTGCGGGTTATGGTGGACTGTCGTTCGTGTGCCTCAAGAGCAGTCGATAGTTCCAACCCTCAGTCTTCAGCCTTGCGCCGGAGATTTGCTCAATCTCTTCAAGCGCTGGCCATGCAAAGCTATTCTAGTGCAGGGGCTTCTTACAACAGTTGTGACCTTACTTAGGACTTGGGGGGTCATGAAAAAAGGGATCCCCGTACTTAAGTTCTGTAGTAGCATTTCTTGTTTTCTGAGACTGCCAGGATTGATAAGACTAAGAGGTGTTGAGGGGAGATGTTGCGTATACTGCAGCATGATATGCTGAAGCTTCAAGTTTCATCTTGCGGAACGTCACCCCTTGCTTCTGTTGCAGCCGCATAGTCTGCTTGTCTTATCTGAAAGAGAAAGACAAGATAGTTTAAGTACGTAGGTAATCAACATCGAGAAGTACAATATACTATAAGATAATCATTATAACTCAATATAACCATAAGGAAGGAGTACAATATACTACAAGATAATAATCATTATAACTCAATATATAAGGACCATAAGGAAAGACTGTTATCCCGACCCCTACTGTCCGAACCTTCAAGGCTCTGGGGCTCATGGTAGGGCATGTAGGGAGCTGTGGCTTCAAAAGTCTGAGCCGGAGGCGAAAGGAACGAGACCTCTGGTTCGGGGTTCAGAGTAGATCCTAGGGTTTAGGATTTTGATTTTAGGGTTTGGGGTTCAGGGTTTAGGGTTGAGGGTTTAGGGCTTAAGGATCAGGGCTTAAGGGGCAACCTTGACGAAGAGCTCCGGATCCTGTTGGAGCTCTTGCCTAAAGTTTTAAAAGCCTACTTGGTCTAAAACCCCGAAACCCTAAACCCTACTTGTTCCTTGACTGCTCCGTTTTCTTTCCTTGACCGCTCCGTTTTCTTACCCAACTGGAAGGAGCCCGATAAACCCTAAACCCTAGCACTGCAGCACCCTAGTTGCAGGGTTTGGGAGAAGCTACGGGAACCTTAAAGCCTAAACCCTAGTGCGCTGAACCAAAAAAAAACCCTAAACCTTGAACCCTAAACCCAAAAAAGCCCTAAAACCCTAATCCACTAAAAACCAACCCGAAACCCTAAACCCAAAACCCAAAAAAGCCCTAAACCCTTATCCACCAAAAGCCAACGCCTAAACCCCGCTGTGACTCGCCGAGGCCCTCTCGTCGAATCGATGCCTCGCAAGCCTTGAGCTGATCTGTGTTGGGTTTCGGGACTTCCGGTTTAAAATAGTGGTTTTGGGCCATGTAGGGTTTAGGGTTTAGGGTTAAGGGTTTAAGGTTTAGGGTTTAGGGACTACCGCTCAAAATAGTGCTATTGGGCCATGTTTTGGGTGTCGGGAATGCCTTTTTTTAAACGGCTTTTGGGCCATTTGTTGAGAATTAGGGGGTGTTACAGTCAGTACAACCTTGTTCCGAACTTAAACTCCCAAACCCTAAACCCTACTCGTCAAGCTGCCTTAGAGCTTTGTAGCACCAGAAGCTCTGTAATCTCCACTCTCCACTCTGTGACGACACCACGCCCTAAAACCCTGAAGCTTATGCAGCTGCAAGATCGGCTTTTAGGTTCAGGGCTCAGGGTTTAGGCGCCCAAAAAATTGATCCATCATAAGAATAGGGAAGGCTAGGGCACTCCTGGTCTCAAGCAGCCCAACCAGATTTGGCTCAAAGTCACCATTTCGGGGTGGGGTTCGGGACTTTAGGCTCATCTACCGGAACCCGCTTAGTATACATCAACAGCGGCGCTCCCATGCGACGTCGCCCTAAAGGTTGAGGGTTCGTTTTAGGGTTTAGGGCGTACTTGGATCAATGCAGGTGCAGGCTTTATTGGTAAAATGATCCGTCTGACAAGGACCCCTAAGTGAGGCAGTCCGTGTGAGAAGCAACCCTCCTGTTCCAGCAGATGTGGCGGCTCAGAGTTTAACCCTACCTTAACCCCCGAAAAATTCGCTGTTTTGAGGACCTTTAGAAAGAACTCATAAAAAAGGAGCCCCGTCAAAGATAAGGTACGTCCCTATGTAAGAGGTTCTTGCAAAGCATTCGGAATGCGTTTGTTTGGCTTCACCGCACATGGATGAAGTGATTTTTTCCTGTTGGCTCAAGAGCTGCCTATGGCAAGATTTTCCTCGGTGCGCTTTTCTGCTTTAGGGTGTGGGTCCGCCGGATGGAGAATGGAACCTTTCTCGTCACTGCGGCGATTGTCTACGCCTCTGTGATTTGGTTTCTTCCTCACCGCAATGCTTTCTACTCGCTGAGTGTGGTCTCCAGGACGGCGTCACATTCGACAGCAGATGCCACTGTGCAGTCTCGCCTACAGGAGTACAAGCAGAATCACTTACCGGATTGGATTCCAGTCTTCATAAAAAACGGTGAGATCTACTTTTTGGTTTGGAGCATGCTGCGCTTATGTGGCTCGGATTGGTCAGATTGTGTCAAAAGTGATCCCGAGTTGCTAATTAATGTGAGAGTCCCATAGCCAGTCATGGATCTCGTCAAAAGCGTTCTCTGAGTTACCTGAACCAAGATGCCCCACAGCATATACTGTTGTGTTCCAAACCTAGGTATCCCAGGAGGTTGGACAAAGCCAGCATATGCAGATTTTCATCTGTGGAGCCTCCTGACCACGTTGGTTGGATTACGCTGGTCCTGCCACCCTTCAGCAGAAAAATCTGTGTGGCACCGAAGAGTCGTGTCAACGGCTTTGGCAATAGCCTGCCATCTTTCTCAGCTGGATATGCCAACACAGATGGGCCACGTGAACGGTGTGGCTTACGTCAGCCTTGCGCTGTTCATGGGAGATCCATGGTTTGGTCTTGCCGTGTTCGCTGTGTTCAGTCCAGTGAAGTTGATGGTGCTTTCTCAACGCAGCACGTGGAGTACAGGGCTGACGCTGGATCTTGCCTGGTGGGTTGTGAACGATTTGATGACGTGCATCTTCCTTTTTTCAATCTTGCAGCACATTGACATTCTTCTCGGCAGTGTGCTGCAGACCGCGGTCGATTTGGAACACCAGGTTCGTGAGAAGGAGAAGAGCGTGAGAGACAGAGGCCACCTTCTGTCGGCTACACGGCGCCTTCTTTCTGTTACCTGTGATTGCTGCGAAACGCTCTCTGACGATTTCGAAGTTGTGCAACCTTCTCAGAATATCTTGGCTATGTTACACATCCAGAATCCGGAACAAGACTCGCAGCTTGAACCGGGCATTTCGAGGTTGCCGTTGCGGCCGTATATCTGCGATGAAGACCAGGAGCGTTTCGAGCAGTTCATCGCTGTCTCCTATGAGTCCCAGGCAGCTTCCTCACTGCACCTTCGCATGAAAACACGTTCAGGGAGCCCCTTCGAGGTGCAGACTTTCCATGTGAAGGTTCCTGGAACCGATCGACCACAACACCTCATCGGCATTAAGTCCGCAATCGCCGAGATGACCAGTATTCCGGAGCATTCTGTCCTGGAGGTATCTGTCGCCCCCAGCATCCCGCTGTCCATGGTTCCTGGGGGCCGCAGCCATCGGAGTCGTCGCTCGGGCAGCTGGGCTGCGGAATGTGCTAGACTGCCCCATTCCATTCCTGGTGTTGTGTCTGGCAGAGCCTATAGCTCCTTGAGCCACAAGCTCTTTAAGTTAAATTTCTATCCCCATCACCTCAAAAATGGTCCCGAAACGCGATCTACCCCAGAACCCTGTCCAAAAACTGCATACCCTAAACCCTAACTCCCAAGCCCTAACAGGAACCCTACAGCCCTAAAGCATCCCAAGCAGTGACTCTTTGCACCCTAAACCCTAAACCCTAAACCCTGAACCCTAAACCCTAAACCCTAAACCCCATAAACTCTAAACCCTGAACCCTAAGCCCTAAACCCTTTAAGGCAGTTCTTCCGGTTCCAAGAGCTCCGCTTCCTCCGCAGTGGAGGCCCGGGATCCTCGCTACCTGAGATACGTAGGGTCTAGGGCTTTCGGGGTTTAGGGCTTAGGGCTGTTGGGGTTTAGGGTTCAGGGCTTTTGGGGTTTAGGGCTTTAGGGCTTTAGGGGTTTAGGGTTTCGGAGTCCAGGGCTTGAGGTCTAGAGTTTGGGCCTCAAATAGGTCACCCAAGGCAAGCTATTGCAATTGAGGATCAGGTAGACTGCTGTGACGCCCTTTGGCCATCTTTGACCGCATCATTCTAGGGATTTTCTTGTTGCTGACAGGATGTCTTCTGCGTTGGGAATCTACTGTCGTTGTTGTATTAGTGTTGCGAGCTGATACGAAGGCAGGTGATCACCCGTGTGCATTTCCAAGATACTTGTCCGCTGAGACAGGTGTCTTTGGATTTCTCGTATTTTGTGATCCGTTTGGCTTGGCGGCACGTGTGGTTGCCAACCCGTCAAGTTTGATCGTCAGCATCTCGGACCAATCGCATCGCTGGACCTTCAGCCGTTAGAGGATGCTAGCATATCCTTAGTTTGCATTTCTTCCACCTGATCCCAACTGTTTGTCTTTTGCTGCAGCGTTGCTTGCATCGCCTCTGGTTCCATGATCCAACCCCTGCCCTTTCTCCAAGCAGGTCAGTGGCAGGCCAAAGATTGGCAACATTGTTCTGACGGTGGATCCGTCTGATGCCTACAGCGTCGACTCCCTCCAGGTCTTCTTTGAAGGTCGCGACCCGGCCCTGAAGTACTACTACAAGGGGTACTAGCAGGGCACTTAATAACCTCAAGCTCACATCAAGAGTTTCTTGCTTTAAGACTGCTTTTTCCTTTCGTCCGAGCGGGGCTCCAACCTAGGAAGAGCAAGACTGACAAGCTGGGTCCGCACCAAAAGCGCGTGCCCAGTGGAGGGGTTCCTGCAGCATTACCTGAACTGCTGGCAACATGCTGAGCAGTCGTCCGAGACATGCAAGAAGGTTCATTTTAGAGTACCTGACGTCCCTGTGTGTTTTACAGCCGGGGAAATGTCTGTCGCTGAGGTGCTTGAAGCCGAATCGGGCGATGAGTTTCCACACTCCATGCGCTTAGTGCTGGAGGGCATATCCCACCGGTAGGATATGCCTGATGTGACACCAGTACGAGAGATTTCATGCTGTATTGCTGCAAGGACAAACGTTTTCAAAGGTGGCCAAGGCAATCCATGTTATTGAATTTCCAACTGAACCCTCAACCCGATAATTACCCTAAACCCTAAATCCCTAGACACTAAACCCCAAGCATAACCAGCTTCATTGCCAGAGAAGTAGAAGAGATGCAGGCCGGTGGCGTTCAACGTATCTCCTTGCCAATCTTGCTTCATTGAAGCGCAATGTGCAGAAGCCACAGCAGACCATCAGGGAGGATCCAAAAAGCGTCGTTTGCGCTTGCAGCTCCAAACCCTAATCCCAATGCTCCCACCTCTTCTGTATGTATAATATACTAGAATATAGTTGCTATAATATACTATAATGCACTAGAATATACCATAATATGCTATATCCTGGTCGCAACCCTGACCGGAACGGCTTTTCTTGTAGGTTCGGGGGCGACTTCTGCAGTGACGGCAGCGCGAGGATTCGATCCTCTAAGACGGAATACCGTAGAACTGGCAGTGAAGGGTTTAGGATTTAGGGTTTTAGGGTTTAGGGTTTTAGAGTTTAGGGTTTAGGGTCTAGGGTGTGAGTCTTCATAGCAAGACAGCGATCGCCAGTAATCGGAAGCATAATCTTCATCGCAATCATGAAACCATGATCTGCAAGGTCATCGTCAGTGTCATCACCATCATCATCAACTTTATCATCATCACCACCATCGCAATCATAGTAATCTACCTGGCGTCAGTACTGCATATCGTAGTCGTACAGTTGATAAAGTAATATTGACAATGACAATACACCACTGGCAATACTAAGACTCGTCATTAAAGTTCCGTATTGTGTAACCCCAAACCCTGTTCTACGGTACTTGTTAAGGCCCCTATATCAGCTTTGGAAGCCCCAGGCTGTAACCTGGAGCACGCGCCCTACGAGTATTGCAGTGGCCGCTCCTTTTGTCCACAGCTCGCCAGCTGCTATCAGGAGAGGGTTTCCGGCAGCCGGGGTTTAAGGCTAGGGGTTTAGGGTGAGTATGTAGAGATGAGGGTTTAGGCAGCGGGCCACCCATGAAGGGTGAGTGCTAACAGCCTGTAAGAATGTCTCATCAGCTTCCTCCAGCCCGTTGGCTGCTCCGCACTCACTAACTCATTCTCCTACAGACCAGTGCAGTTCCGCGAGCTTTGAATTTTGGAGGGGATTTTGGGGGATAGGAGCTCCTCTGAGTCCAAAACCGGCTTTGTGCCACAGGGTACTAGTAGTTCGGCACCGAGAGCCCTGTGTCCGAACAGCATAAGGCCCGAATCCGAAATTCGAGTTGGCCTGTGAGTAGGACTGCTTCGAAAGGGGCCGTGCGCCGCCACGCTGTCCTGGTGACTGCTGTCCGGAGCTGCTGAGAGAAGGCCCGGAACAGAAAAACGATTCTCGGTGGAGTTTTCCTCAAAGGACCCAGCACTCAAAATCATGGTTCTTAGTCCTTTGTTGTTGTGGCATCCGCTCGATATCATTGTCGTTATCGTCAACCTGGCTGCTTGTCTTCTTGTGAGTGTTCTTTTTTTGGAGTATTCGTACTATCAGTCTGGCTGACGTCGCCTTCTGAGTTTGGCTACAGTTGCATGAGAGTTCTATTTCATCTTGCCCAGGGCTGCCGGGGGCGTCACCTCCCAGCTACGACGACTCCAGTGGCGGCTACTACCGTTGCGAGATCGGCAACTCCTGTCTGGACCGAGGGCTTGGTATTGCGATGTCTTCGGAGCACTGGGATTGCCTTACAGGCTTTTCACTGCAGTTTTTGTTTTGGGGATGTTTTGGGCTGCTGGAAATCGGAATTCTACGTCAGTGCTCGGATGTTGAGTGCCCGTTCAAGATGGTCGGGGCGGTTGGTCCAGGGAGCCGTGCATTCGCCATATCTAGCAGGTACCTAAATGGTGGAACTAATCATAGCATATGTAACCCTCTAACTTTCTAACCCAACTCTCAGGTATCTGGAGTCCTTGCTTAGGGCATGATGCTTTCTGGGTTTGGTCGGCTTCGAGACTTCGGCTTTAGGGGTGTGAGATGTATGCTTCCTACTACGTTTACACCGAAACTGACTAAACCCTAAACCCCAAAACCCTAAACCCCTAAACCCTAAACCCCAAAACCACTAAACCTCTAAACCCCAAAACCCCTAAACCCTAAACCCCGAACCCTAAACCGTTCGACTATCAGAGTTTTGAGCTGAGGGTTGCGTCGGGGGGACGATCTGAGGTGTATCGCTGGAAGAAAGAGTAGGCCGGGGTCAATGACTTGGGTTTATGGTTGAGACAACAAAGATTCACACCGAATTCCCAGAGCATCGTTGGCTCATAGCTGACATAGATGCCCTCAACATCGCAAATGGCAATTTGAATGAGCCTTTCAGCAGTGTTGGTCCTGCCACTGAAGTGCAGCAAAGCCACTTTCCCACCCTTTGACTGGCCCTGCTCGATGATCCCAAGCCCTGGACAGATCCAAGCACCAGGTGTTGCAAGCTTGGCAGTGCCTACACCAAAAAAACCCATGTAAAAGCCACAGAGCTAGACCCACAAGACTAGACTACACCCATTACACCCCTAAGCCAAAGCTTGACCCTTATTCCGCCCCCCAGGCCTAAACCCGAGGTCCAAATCAGAGATTCTCCCAAAGTCAAAGCTGGGCCTCCCCTAAGCCATGCCGCACAGCGACATCGTGGCTCGAGACCCCAAGAGGACTCGGAGGCCTGATCGTCCAGAGGGTGTAGACGGTTTTAGGGTTGATAGGGTTGAGGGGTTTTAGGGGTTTTAGGGTTTTAGGGTTTTAGGGTTTATAGGGTTTATAGGGTTTAGGGGTTTTTAGAGGTTTAGGGTTTTTTAGAGGTTTAGGGGTTTAGGGTTTAGGGCTTTTGGGGTTTAGGGTTTGGGGTTTTAGCGCTTTAGGGCTTTAGGGCTTTAGGGTTTCGGGCAAGTGTGGAGTTTACCATTTGTAGGCAGTACTTATGTTGAAGCTTTCACGGGGATGAAGTGAGGCTTTGGCAGGAAAGTCTCGATTTAAGTTTGTGTCACGTCGTAGATGCGTGGAATCTAGATGGAACCCATCGTAAGCCCTTTGCATTTGCGTATAGCAGCTGCTCAGTAGCTATGCCAGGTTTCTCATCTTCACCCGGAACTCCTAAACTCCGAGCTCTTTGTCATGAAAACATCTACACCTACGGCTATGTAGGCCCTTCCAAGTGCAGCCGGGCCCCTACATTTGCATAGATGTATGCCTGGCATTGAATGACTCAACACCTGCCCCTAAAGTTCCTTCCTCACGTCACCTGGGTATATAGCACGCCCTAAACCCTAAACCCTAAACCGTAAACCGTGCGCCCTGAAAGTCTACTGGGTCGATCTTGACCTGTGAGCCCAGAGCGAACTAGCAGCCCTCCAGGGGAGGGTTGACAACAATACCTGGTCTTCTACCCACAACCCTAGGCAGTATTAGGGAGACCCCCCTTCGAAGGGGACCCTTCTTAACCCTACTTATTGGCTCTCTGAAAAGGGACCGTATTGAGAGGGTCTATATCCCCAAGGGTCCCCCTAATCCTAACTCCTACCGTCTTTGCTGTACCCTGATAGAGTTTTATAGGGATTTGGGGTCTAGGGTTTAGGGGTTTAGGGTTTAGGGGTTTAA